ACTTTATTTATTGACTGCGGCTGAGACGACTACACCTCGCCCTCCCCTGCCCTCCCCCTACCCCTCTGTGGTGGCAACAACAGCCGCTGCCTGCCGTTGGGAAACTTTTAATGAAAAATATTCAATTTTTCAGGTGTTGCAAATATTTAACATTTCGCAACTTTCGGCGCGGATGAGTGGATGTGTGGATGTGTGTGTTCTCCCGTTCTCCTGCCACGTCCACACTCCACCTGCGGTTAGCGAGTGGTTTCTGCCCCAGCCCCAGCCTCCCCGCCCCGCCCCACCACAGCAGTGGAAAAAGGTTTAACCAGGGCATGCAGGGGCCCCCCAGAAAGTGCGGTGGAAAAAAAAACCAACTCTGAAGCATTTTAAATGTTAATTAAGAATGGAACGAAATCGGATAATTTGCATGTGCCCCCGCCCCATGCCCCTCACCGCTTTGGTCGCTAATAGAATTAGGTTTTTGTTTTCGGCCCCTCAAATTCTATTAGCCAGGCCCCAAAAACCGCTAGAGAGGGGTGGAGAGGGGGTGCAACGGCCCTGAGCTAAGGCCAAATTGAAGTTCATTCGATTTGCGCTGCAGATCTGCAGCTTTAACTCGATTTGGCTTCGATTGATTGACATTTGTGCGGCGGCTTGATTTGGTTACAGCCACACGTTTCGGCCCTGAACGACGCCACTCCCACATGGCAGCCCCCTCGATGAGGAGGGGGGTGCTCTGGTATGCTGCTTCGTGCGGCACAGTCGATGGACTGTTGAGTGCCGGCGGTGGCAGGGCTGCTTTTATATTGCACGCGCCAGAATCTGCCGAGGAAGCCTTCAATTTGTTTCAATCTTGTGGCAGGCAGTCGCTCTCTGGGAGATATCTCAGAGATAGCTCTCTCTCTCTTTTATCTCTGACTGTTGCTGTCTTTTTCTAGGCACGTAAAATCACATTCCGGCCGGCTACAGGGTATATTCTAAGGAGGGTAAGGGCCTGCCGGTTGTATTTTGGGGCATACTTCGGGGAGAGCGTCTGAATATGCAGTGAAATGCAGATTTATTGCTGGCTGGCTTCGGTTTTTAAAGAATTAATCATGCACAAGACATGTAATTCGTTTATATGTCTCTTGGGAGCTCCCCTTTGAAGCCTTTGCTCCTGCACTCGAATCCAGCTTTAACTTTCTCCATCATGCACAAGCAATAAATGTTGTTTTTGGTTTCTTGGGGCCTGTACTAAGCCTCTGTCTCGAGCCTAGCGCCTTGTCATTGGCTTCTGGGGCCCAAAAGCGATCACCAGCTGCTTCCACGGACATTCTCTTTGGAAGCAATCGCTTCCGCGTCTCCCTGGGCCCTTGAGAGGTCCTTCCGTGGCCAACTAGAGTCCTCACCTTACCAGCCCTCATCCCAAATCTGGGCATGCCGGCTGTGGGCTGTGGGTAAACAAACAACAGCTGTGGCCAGGCCAGAGCTTCCTCTTAGCCCGTACACACACCGCTTTATGGCCCTCAAAATAAGTGCCAACCATAATTCTGGGACTCTCTCGATGCCATAAACCCCACGCCCTGCCATAAACGTGGCAGAGGCTGGCGCCTGCGCTGTCCGTCCCAGAGAGCGGGCCGGAATGTGCGAGCAGGTCCGCAGGCCAGGGCCGTGCGTGCGAGCGGGATGCATCGTAAACAAAACGATGCAACAGCCTGTGCCTCGGAGCCTCGGAGCCTCGGAAAATTCAGGTATTTCCGTCTCGGCGCCAGAAAGAGATGGGTCGTAAACAAAGACAGCTGTCTTTGGTGTCATTGTACTGCTCTGACAGAGGCGGCCGCCGCACCGTGCCACACAGAGCACAGCACGACATCGCGCAACGTGCGCCGAGAGTGTCTGTGCCCGTGTCCCGGCCCGGCTCGGCCCGGCTGAGTGGGTCAGGTGCAGGCGCCCCCCAAAATCCGGTATGCGCCAGCTGCGCGTGACTCGCCTTCCTTCTCAGACGGGAGACGGGAGACGGGAGACCTCCGCCTCTTCGGTGTGTCTCTGTGTGCAAGTTCTGTGCAATTTTTAGACCCAATCGACTTCTTGTGCCCCTCGAAGACTGACCCCTAATTGGCTTTTGGCTTTGACTCTGTCGCTGGCTCTTATGTAAGTCAACCTTTCCTCGGAGAAAGACAAAGAGGAAGAGAGAGTTGTCGCTGATCCATCACGCAATGCCCTCCGCACCCCCACCCGCCCCCTCACTGGCATCAGTCTTCGAGCTGCTCATATATTATGGAAATTGGCCCTATAATAGGGGCTATCATTTGTGGCTGTGCCTCTGGCGGCAGCTCATTTATTTTTGAAAACATTTTGTGCCGTTTATAGAACCCTTGCCCCCTGCCCCTTGCCCCCTGTCCCCTGCCCACTGTCCCTGCTGCACCTGCACTTCCCTCTAATTAAAATGACAAATCGGTAAACATACAAAATGCCTTCTTCATCTTTTGGGCTGGCATTTGCTGTGCCAACGAGGCGTATGCGTAATCTGCTCGTCTCTGGGTCTCTCTCACACCCTTCGGCGCACAATTTTCCACTTTTCCACTTAAATTTCTATTCGCGATCCACGCAAGTCATGCCGCAATCATTTACTTGAATTATTCCCATGATGAAGCGGCCCTCTGAATGACGGGGTGGTTTGGCTTTAGAGAGGGCTTTGGCATTGGACTAGAGGCTAGAAAGTTCTAGAAAGAGACAAGAGAGGGTTTGAGGGGGAGGGTAGGGATATCTAGCCTTGCTCTTACTCGTCTTTCCAGTTTGGAGCCGAGTTTTGGCTGGTTTTCGCGGTGGCAAGCCTCTTAGGAGAGCAGTAGATTCCCTGTGATTCAAGTACTTTCGGGTACAGAAGATAGGTTCTTCAGGAATGTATCTTTACGATTCAAATCTACTCCTAAATGTACACCTTTCCCTGCTGAAGTGGGTCTCCCTTGCCTTCCTCCAGGGTATTCCCCAGTCGTTCCCCATGCCTCCCCTATAATTCCCATTCCTGCTAAATTCTCTGTGTATCTCGTCTGGTGGCAATTCTTCCCGAAACGAAAGATTTAAAGTGTGTCAAAGTGCAATAAACAATTGTCGTTTGTTTTTGGGTGTCAAAAACTGGGGGGGGGGGGGGACGTGGGGGGGGGGCCTCTGCCAAAGACATAAACGGAAACAGATGAGGGCACCTTCTGACGCGCTTTCGCTGCCGTCATTAGTCGCCTCTCCCTCTCGCACTTGGGGCGGTGGGGCAGGGGGCTGGGGGCGGAAGAGGGGGAACCCTTACGTGGCAAAAACAAAGCCAAAGAAATGTGACAAACGGTGAAGGGGGACGGTGAAGGGGGACGGGGGGGACTGGTTCTTGGTCCGCCATTGCTTAAATTAAATTTATTGCTCACTTTCCGTTCAATTGCCGAGCCCAGCGGACATCGAAGCGCTCACTTGGTGGCCATCTGCTCCTCCGCCTGAGATCCGTGCCGTGCTCTGTCGTGCTCTGCCGCGTTTAAATAGCGTAATAGTCGCCGTATTCGACGATCAGTTAAGTTCGAAGGCGCGCGGCATACCGGTTGCAGTTTTCACTTCGGTTTCGGATCGTTCGTGTGGTTCTCGCTGGTCTGCTCGTCGAGGTAGGGCCTCAGGGATAGCCCCATTCCTTCTAGAGACAACTTAAGCCCCTTGTCGCCCTTGTTGCATGCCCAACCCCTCCTCCCCCCCAACCTAATTCGATTTGCACCTGCCCGCCCTGCCGCATGGCGTTTTTTCTAGTAAACAAACCTTGAGGTCAAACCAGAGCAAAGCAAACCCCCCTCTACCCCTCTCTGGTGCAGGTAGAAAAGCAATCCACTACAACGGCTACAGCGGTGCAACGCATTCTGAAACTGTTGATGCAACGCCAGCAGAAACTGCTGCGCCAATTGTTCCAACTGACTGCCTTGGCAAGACGTTAAGCATACGCACCGGTGTACAGGTGTACCAAACAAAACTCAAGCGCGAGAGTGCGACCAGTGAAAGGTGAAAGAAAGGTGAAAAGTGAGTGCCAAGTGGGGATACATCAAGGAGCGGGCCATTAACAAGCTCCATCCTGGGTAATCTGTGGTTAATCGTTAAAGGTGAGTGTTTCCCCCAGCGAAAAGCAGTCGAGGGAAGAGCGGAAGAGGCAGCCAAATATAGTTATTAAACATGCATTAGTCGCCGCGACCTTCGATCGGGCCATCGGGGGACTCGTGCCTGATGGCAATTTATTTCAAAGTGAAATCCAAACGAATGGCCCGAGTGACAGGCCATCCAAATGCCGCACACTCGATTGATCTCCCATCCCATCCATCCATTATCCCCCCCCCCCCCAGATCTCCTCTGCGTGGCCCCAATGTCAAGTTCAAGTTCGAAGGGGGGCCTCTTGGGGCTCTGGCAAGTGCCAATAGATTGTCGCTCTGTGGCAAATCAAAGCAATGCTGACAGCGGACAGTCGTTGCAATTATCTTAATTATCTGCGAGAGAGAGGATCGTTGGGGCTGGGATCAGGGTGGACGCCGAGCGTTTTGTTGTGGCCAGGGGCGAGTGTTAAATATAGCATTGCCCTATTGATTTGGCCGTCTGCCCAAAAGATGGACAGTGGACAGTGGATGGGGGGAGGGGGTGCCCCCTCACATGATTTATGAATGACAGCTAACAAGGCGCGCTCTAACGGATCGATAAGCGGCCACCCCTTGCGCCCAGCCCCCAAGGACACTCCAATTGTCGCCGACTCGCTTGAATCGATTAAGCGGGGGGAAACGGGGGGAGGCGGGGAGGGGCGACTGGCATTTGCGTAAGCCGCTCGCTCCACAAGCGGAATTTTCCGCTCCATTATAATTATGGAGCGTCAATCAGATGGTGGGGCAGGCAAAGGCTGCAAGTGCGTGCCGTCTCCATTTCAATTTCCCTTTTCATTTTGACATTTGAAAAGCCGGCTGCCAAAAGAGAGAGAGAGAGAGAGCACGAGAGAGCATCCTCGACTCCTGCGACTCGCGAGAGAGCAGAGTCCTGTCCATAAAAGCGGACCGCAGACGCGAGAGCCGCACATTCGCAGGAGGACGCTTCGAGTGAACGGACTTTCAGTGGAGCACAGACACGGGAGCAGAGACAGAGACAGCGACAGAGAAATAGCATAAAAAGGGCAGTGTGAATAGTGAAAACGAAAGCGGAAAGAAAGAAAAGTCTGGCAAACACTGGAATCACAGAGGCAATCCCTTTGACCTGCTCCAAGCGCGAGGCCCGGCTGACACAGATTCCACAGGAGACTCCACGGCCCCTGCAGCGACTGACCTGACCCCAGGCCCCCCCCGCCCCCACTCGAGTGGCACGAAAAAATCGATTATCCATCGCCGAAAACTGCAGCAGAGAGTGCAGCGAACCGCGACTGACAGCAGCAGCAGCTCCTGGCCGAAGGTCAGACACAAGTTCCAGAGGAGGCAGCGTACCGGGAAAGCCACAAAAACGGAGCCATTAACCCACCAACGAGACTCGACAGCGGTACGGCACTCTGGCACCGGCCACACGCAGACGCTGAGGGACAAGAAGACAACCCCCCACCGGTAGGAGCCCCCCTGAGGAGCCCCAGCAGCCACCAAATGGCTTACCTAATCAACATTCTCAAGTTCAATGTTAAGTATCTCAAAAATCAATAATTTGGAGGCACACTCGCAAAGGGAGAACCGCACAGAGAGCCCCCTCTCCCTCCCACAGGACCGCAGGACCACAGGACATCCCCCCGCACATCGTTTGGCCATAAATATTAACGTGATTCTGATTCTGATTCAACAATAGCCAAGGAAAGGCTCCCGTCTCGTCTCGTGTCGTGTCGTGTCTCTCTCTCTCGCTCTCTTGCCCCCCACCCCCCGTCGCATCTGTGGTGGCGTCTCGCTCTCTGGCTGCCTCTTCTACTGATATTCTGCTGTGCTTTTCGCTGCGCTGCATTCGATTGCGCGTCCGCGGACAATGGAAAGGTCTGAGAAATTTTCAGATTACCTCTTTGCCAAAATGGGTCCTCCGAATGTGACGGCCTCCGTGCACGGCAGCGAGCTGCCGCCGAAGACCACGGAACGAAGCGACGCCCCCCTCGAGCTGACGGGCTACCGGAAGTGGCTGAGCGACAATCTGATGCTGCTGGTGACGCTCTCGGGTGTCCTCCTGGGAGTCACACTGGGTGCGTATGGCCGCCCACTCGAGCGCTCCTCAAACTCCACTCTTTCCCCCCTCTCACTCTCTCTCGCTAGGCCTCTCGCTGCGTCCGTTGCATCTCCATGGGGACTGCATCATGCTGATCTCGTATCCGGGAGAGCTGTTCATGCGGGTGCTCAAGCTGATGATCCTGCCGCTGGTCATCTCCAGCCTCATTGCCGGCTCCGCGAGCCTCAATGCCAAGATGAACGGCAAGATCGCCCTGCGGACGCTCGTCTACTTCGCCAGCACCTCGTTCTTCAATGCCGCCCTGGGCATTGCCCTCGTGCTGCTCATTCATCCCGGAAATCCGGATATGCACAATAACGACGACCGTTCGACGGACAAGCGGACCGTCAATCTTCTGGACAGCCTCCTGGATTTGGGCAGGTTAGTGAATCGAGGCAAAGTCGCGAGAAAGTTAATCGTTGAGGAAATCGCATTCAATCCGCCTCTAAGTCGCGTTAAAATCGCTTTCAAGTCGAGTTCTGGTGGCGTTCAAATCGCCTACAAGTCGCGTTCAAGTCGCGTACAAGTCGCGTTCAAATCGCGTTGAAGTCGCGTGGAAGTCAGTTCTAAACCGGTTGGGAAGCAGTGCAATCTTACCCAATTTAAAGCGGTGTCACGTTTATAAGCAGTTATTCAAGCAGTGTAAATGATGTGAAAATTGAATACAATTGAAATGGCAAGCAAAACTTGCCTAATTGGTAAACCTATCACCCAGTCGCGCTGAGTAAATGGCCTATATTGCATGAAAATAACTTACAAGTTGAGCTAAAGTAGCGCGGAATTTGTAAGGGAATCGCGATGACGTTAACTTTTATTTTTAAACTGTGGCGCAAACAAGTTCGGTAAAGCAGTATGAAAAGTGTAATGGTGGCGCCATCTACTTGTCGCTGAAAGCTCACCTGAGCTGCCAAGCAGTTCATACAAGCAGTGTACTCAATCATCACACAGCTTCAGGCAGTGCAGCAAATTCCGCTTAAATTTGAATTCGAATTTCCAAGAGTCGGCTATCCATTTCTCTCATTTCACTCTTCTCGGCCCAACACTTTCACTCGCGAATAAAATTATTATTTTTTTAATTTGCTTTTAAGTAGTGCAGAAACTGTGCAGAAATAACTTGGCAAAGTATCAAAGGAAATCCAGCCAATACGTGTGATTTAACCGGTTGCTTCAAGCAGTACACTCCACCCGTTGGAGAAAGCAGTTTAAACAAGCAGTAGCTAAGCCGTGTACTGCTTAGTAATGTGCATTATTGAACGTTGAAATTTGAATTTGAATTTAAAATTGCAAGGGCGCGACTGTCCATTTCTCCCATTTCTTTTCGCCTTTCCACAGAAACGTATTCCCGGACAACCTGTTCCAGGCGTCGATCCAACAGGCCCACACCGTCTACCTGCCCAAGCCGAGCATCCTGCACGCCTTCAACGAGACGATGAACGAGACGGCTGTGCTGCTGTCCGGCGGACTGGAGGCGCAGCGCCAGGCCGACGAGCTGGACGAGGTTGTGCTCGTCCGGGATGTGCAGTACCGGAGCGGCACGAATACGCTGGGCATCGTGTTCTTCTGCTTGGTGTTTGGAACCTTCCTGGGGACGATCGGCCAGAAGGGGCAGGTCGTTGTGGACTTTTTCGCGGCCATCTTCGAGGTGATCATGAAGATGGTGACGTGCGTGATGTGGCTGACGCCGGTGGGGATCAGCTCGGTGATCGCTGGGAAGATCCTGAGCGTGGACGACCTGGGCCTGGTGATGGCGCAGCTCATCTGGTTCATCTTCACGGTGGCCGTCGGCGTGTTCCTCTACCAGTTCGTGGTGATGCAGGCCATCTACTTCGTGTTCGTGCGCCGCAATCCCTTCAAGTTCTACGCGGGCCTCATCCAGGCCATGCTCACCGCCTTTGCCACCGCCTCAACGTAAGCCATTTCTCTCTCTCTCTCTCTCTCTCACGCTCTCTGTCTTGCTCTCTGTGATAGCGATAGCGAGGGTATCTGTGAGATCTCTCGAGATCTGCGAACGTCTAACGTGCTACAAGTATTTTTCCTTCTTCTTGGTTTCCGATCCGATCCGATTCGATCCCTGATTTGCCCCCCGCCCCGTCGTTGTTACGTTCTTGTTATGAAAACTCTTTTGTTCCGCAAACACCTTGAAAACACTTGAAATCCACCCAACATCTACATCTACACTACACCAATCCTGCCACCACTGCCACTGCAACCACTGCCACTGCAACACTGCCATTGCATCTGCCACTGCAACTGCAGCGCTGCTGCCCTGCCCATCACATTCCGCTGCATGAACGAGAAGCTGCGCGTGGACCCGCGGATCACCCGCTTCGTCCTGCCCATCGGATGCAACATCAACATGGACGGAACCGCTCTCTACATCGCGGTGGCCTCGATTTTCATCGCCCAGATGAGCGGCATGGTGCTGGGCTTCGGAGAGCTCCTCACAGTGCTGCTGACCTCCACGGCCGCGTCCATGAGCTCCGCGAGTGTGCCGAGCGCTGCTCTGGTGCTCCTCCTGGTGGTGCTCACCGCCATCGATGCTCCTGTCCAGGATGTGACCCTCCTCTTCGCCGTCGACTGGTTTGTGTAAGTCCTGATCCCGACTCTCCTCCTTAGAGCTTCGCTTCATTGTGTCCTTTGCTGCAGCGACCGCATCCGGACCACCAACAACATGCTGGGGGACTGCTACACCGCCGCCATCGTTGAGGAGCTGTCGCGCAAGGAGCTGATGGCCCTGGATGCCGCCGCCGTCAATTATCAGGTGGGTTGTTGTCCGACTTACCCGATGAGTTCATTAATGTCTTCCCCCTTGTTACCAGGACATGCCCGCCGGCACTCCCAATGGACACAGCGAGGTCATGCTGGAGGGCCAGACCGAGCTGATAACCGACTCCGTGGTGGTGGACATGAGTGCCGTGATGAACAACGTGAGCCTGCAGCAGGAGCAGCAGCACAGCAACCGCAGGGTCTAAGGATACCCCAGATGATCGCCCCCGTTCGTCAGTCCCGTAGCAGCCACCAGCAACAGCACCACCAATAGACCAAATAGTGTTCCCCCGCAAAGCAAAAGCTGTTTTGATATCGATCTGAACAACTATCGACCGTGAGACTGTCGCATGAGTGACGAACCCGGAACCCACCCGATACCAGAATTTATTCCCCATTTTTCCTTCTTTGGACTCGAAGAGAACTCTCGGCCGTCGAGGCGCTGCTCCTCCGAACACACGTATATATCGAATATTCTCTCACCTAGTAGTCGTACCCGTAACCGTGCCCGTAATCGGATACGGGTGATGCAGTAGCACATACATTCGGACTGGCAAAAGCGAAGGCTTCTCTATGGGTGCTCTAAGTATTCGTGAACTGATTTCTGTGTTACGTTGTTTTGTTGCTTATTTCTACGATTATATATTGTGTCGTGTGTGTCGTGTGTGTGTGTCTGGTGCATGCACCACCGAATGCGAAGGTTGTACTACAAGAAGCTGGATCCTAGGTTTACTTCTAGTTTTAGTTTGCGGATCTGCTGGTCCCTCACTTTTCACGTTTTTGGTTATACCCGGATTACCGATCACCGATCACCAACTAGCGATTACCGTTTACCGATTATCACACATGCATTCGTAGACTGATAGCAGACTTAGTTCACTAGCGATAGCGATAACAATTAAACAATTAAAATATATACACCCACACATATATCCGCATACGTATACGCGTAGGCGACAATTACTAACCAATATCCAACATTCGATTTGTACGCAAACGCCGAATACAACAACAATAAATGTTATTATACCATTAGTTACATATACTTCTGTTAGAGGTCGGGGTCACCACTTTCTTTCAAGAGGTTGAGGCTCTCTGATGGGCTGATTCTCGTGTCGGGGACTCCTGTGTCTGCAGCATGCTTACATTTATCCATTGAAGTACATTATGTATTCTTTTTCGAGGTCACCATTTTCTTTCAATGGATTGAGGCCCTCTGATAGGCTGATTCTCTTATGGTATGCATGTCTGCCTTGGACTCCTGTGTCTGCAGCATTGATGGGGCTTACTCACATTATATATTCTTTGTCGGGGTCACCATCTTCTGTCAATAGATTGATGCCCTCTAATGGGCTGATTCCGTGTATCATGCATGTCTCTCGGGGAATCGTTTATCATCAGGTATCGGGGTCACCATTTTCTTTCAATAGATCTGCTGATTCCACTGTATCATGCATGTCTGTCAGGGACTTTTTTTCAGGGTAATACTCAGAGTTTCCTTTGTCCAATATATTCCGCATGATTTTCTTTGGCCATTGATGGAGCTTATGTCGGGGTCACCATCTTCACCACCATCTAGATTGATGTCCTCTAATAGGCTAATTCCCTAATTCCCCCCCCCCCCCCCACCCCTTATCTGAGTATCTTGTATGTCAATCGGGGTCTCCTTTGTATGCAGGATGATTCCCTTTATCCATTGATGGCGCTTAAGTCGGGGTCACCAACTTCGGTACCCATCAATACCGTTCTTACTTCCATTTCCATGGATATCTCCATCGACTCTTGTATAAAATTAAATAATTAAAAACTTAAACATGGTTTGGGGTCACCATCTGCTAATCACCTGTCAATGGCTTGAGTGTCTTCATATTCGTGCACATTTGTATCTGTTGTATCTGTTGTATCTGTTGTATCTGTATCTGTATCGGCGAACGGAAATTTGCCTATCAACATGGCCATAAATCTCGCGATCGACGGGTGAGCAGTGAATGAATGAATCATCTGCACATGTGTACGAGTGCCCGTAAGTGCCATAACTCAACGCCTGCACTAGTTGTGGCCAGTGGTTTGCACAAGCGGACCAAATCGGGCCTTATATAATTATATAGATACGGTCATAGGTGCATGTGCATATATGAATACATTAGAGGGAATCGGGCCAGGCCGGGCCAGAACCAGGCCCTGGTAGATAAGGCCCTGTTTTAGATCTGAAATCTGGGATATGGGATCTAGAAGGAAACATTCGATCTCTGTGTATCTGCAGCCCCGTTCCATTCGATTCGATTCGATTCATGTCAGGTGTCAATCTGCCTCACTGTCTGCACTTGAGCCCCACTGCCGAGTGCCTCGCAGCAGGTGAATGAATGAATCAAGCGCTCGATCGGCGGGTACACAAATCTGCAACAATAATGCGAACGCGAATGCGAATGCGATACGGCACACGAGGTGGCAATATTTATGGAGATGCCAGACCGGGCGGCCTCTGTGTGTGGCTGCATGGAAACGTATCTAAGAGATTTGTAGTCGTCGTCGCATTCAGAAGTGCGCAATTGCAAAGTCGAGCTGTCGGCCGCTGAGCCGCTCTTGGCACCTCTTTAGCCGCTCTCTGGCCCCCTCTGTGGCCTCCTCCACCTGTCCAACTGTCCCACTGACTGAAGCTGAATGCTCTTGTGGCTGCTGCTGCGCGTTGGCTGGGACTGCGACTGCGGCTGGCGTTGGAGTGTTTGGCGTCTGAAGGTCTACTTGGCAGCGGCTTTGGAGTGTGTTGGCGTTGTCGTTGCCCCCCTTTCGCCCAGCACCTCTCCTGGGCTGCTGTCGCTGGCTGCTAAAATGAAATACGAGTGCAAACAGACAACAACATCGAAGGGAAAGCCATGGCCACAAGTCGATAGTTAGATACTCTAGGAAAGAGATCGTCTCAGTAATAGATAGATCTTTCCCCCTGCGAAGTCTTGATCCAAATCCAAGGGATACTCCTCAATGGCTCTACTAATTCCACTTCTTCCAGTCTTTCAACGAGAGAGAGAGAGACTTGGAGGAATGCCTGGTCCATAAATGGACACTCCACTCGATTCCCCGTTTCGTGACTCTCTCTTCCCCGCTCTCCCAATGGATTCCCCCCCACATTTCGGTTCGCTTGCGTGTGACAAAGTTCGTGATCGGCCCATTGGACCCAATATAGGGCATGGACGGGGGGGGTACGGGCCCAGGGAAGCTTTGCTCGCTTCCATTGTGTGAAGAGACACACGGCGGCTGCTTGACTTGCGGCGCATTTTGAAGAAGAATGGCCAAGACGGCGGGGGGAGCCGGAGCTGTGGCCCCTGCTCACGATATATATCGACACTTGTGGCACATATGGCATGCAGAAATATCCACATAGAGTCGTAGCTGCTGCATTCGCGGCATTTGCATAAGCCCGGGGCTAATTAATTCAATTAGAGGCAAAGTCAAAGCAAATTTCCGATGGGGCGGTTTCACTTTCGCACTGCTGCTTTCGGCCCAGTCGGAGTCTGAGCCAGGTTCTGGGACTGGGCCTGAATGATTGAGCACTGGCGGAAGTTGTTCTCGTGTTGACAACGACAGCGCGCTTATCTCCATGACGATTGACTGGGATTGACTCTGATGGATGCAGAGGAAGGGGGAGGGGGCACACAGGTACAGGGGCCACTGCTCGCTTGGACATGAGTTTATGGGCAATCTGCTCGTCTATAAATTTGCAATCAACTTTTATCAGGCTGGCATCCCAGAACGTGCCTGCACTAACGTTTCTATTCACACGCTGCCGATGGCCATCGCCAAACGGGATTGGCCCCCGTGCCCCCCATCCCCTCCACCTCCTGCTGCTGCTGACTCTCCCGTTGGAGTCAATCTCTGGTTTGGTGTGACTTTGAGCGGTGATAGATTGGCCCACATTCGTCGCGTTTCGACCGCTGTTGCTGGTTGCCTTCCTTCCCAGCCCCAGCCACTGCCACATCCACATCCACATCATCATCATCTGTGGGGCACTGCTATTCCTCGCCGGATTGGTAATCTAACCAAATTACTGTGCTGTTCACAAACACGTTCTCTAAACGGTTTCATAATAACAACGCGCTCCTCAAAAGAATTTCCAGAGGCGCCCCCCAGCCCCCCCTCCCCCCCGTCTTCTCATGCCTCTCTCTCTCTGGAGAGAGGGTATCTCTGCCTGTGTGTGTGTGTGTGTGTGTCTTGGCCTAATGCAAATTGCAGTAATAATTGGCCTATTATGCCACAGAATGAGAAACAGAGATGGCTAGAGAGAGGCAGTAGGCCTCCACCAGTAGGTCGCCACCACCCAAGCCCAAGGAGAAGGTGGAGGCATTAGAATACCATTTAATACTGTGTTTTTCCTTGGCTCAGGGGTGGGGAAGGGTGGGGAAGGCTTCTCCAGAGAGGTGCATCCCACGGAATCCCAGGATCCGAGCCGATCCGATCCGATCCGAGCAGTGCCTTGCATATTGCGCTCATTAATTAGCCGACATTGCAAATTAATGCCTAATCAAATTTTATTGAATTATAAACCAGTCGGCATTCGAAATGCCAAAATGCAGAGGGGTGAGAGGGGGGGATGAAGGGAGGGAGGCCCGTCTGGTAATTAATGTGCACTAAAGCGGCCAGCAGGCATTAAAATTAATTTGATTTTGTCAAAGGCCACAACGCGCATGGGAAGCGCAATCCCAATCCCTCGGAGAACCTTCTCGCCGTTCGTCTAGGCGAAAACTACCCGAAATGGAGGTGCCACAAGAGAGTGGGCCACCGACTGGGGGATACCCTGTAGAAGGGAGGGAGAGCCACAGGGCACTTCTTCCACGAGGAGAACGAGGAGACGCTGCCTCGCGCTTGAAGAGACTCGATTGAGATTGGATTCCTCTCTCTTCCTGTCTTGGCACCCTGTAGGGTATCCCAGGGCCCCTATATGAGGAGCCACTCGGCAGCGGATCGTTGCAATTTTAATTAACTGCCCCGTCGGTGCATTAAAATTGTTTTGACTTTGTTAAATGCTTGCAAATCGCAAAGCGACATGAAAATTTACGCGCCAGCAGCAGCAGCAGAGGCACCACAAGATGGAGCTGTGCATCTGTGGCAGGTGGAGAGAGGAGTGCCAGTGGCAGCAGTGGCAGTGGCAGTGGCAGATGAGCAGAGCACAGATGGCTAGATGGCTAGATGGCTAGATGGGAGCCTGAAATCGATACCCTGAACATGCTCTCGTACGCGCACTCGGATGCGAATGATTCGATGCGGACATTCGCCATTTAGTTCGGGGGCTGGTGCCACAGATGCCACAGATGCCGCAAAATACCGCAATCAGGCGGCAGCCTCCCAGCCTCCCTCCACCCCATTGTTCCTCGATGCCCCAATGTTTCTCGATGTAATTAAAAATGCATTTGCCATAAGGAGGGAGAATCGCGCGTAGGCCGCCCCGTCCATCCATCCCGGTAGGAAGTGGATGCCACTCCACTGTGGCGTGGAGCCCTGCCCTGCCCCACCGCAGTGCAGTGCAGTGCATCGGTAATCGTCGATCAGTGCAAATTGTCGTGAATTAGTCGCACGGCCAAATCTATGACATTACCGAGAGCCAAAGCCAGAGCCAAAGCCGGCACTGGGGGCCGGGCACACATTAAAGTGCCGCCGCCCGCTTTGGGGTCGCATTCGGGCCAGGCCAAAACAAGAGAGTGAGAGAGAGAGAGAGAAAAGTATCGCATCACACATGCGCCGTGTATGACGGAGGAGCTCTCCTCCACTCCATCAGCACTCCACTCGACTCCACTCCATCGCTGGAGCGCTGCACGCGTGAAATGTCAAAAGCTAAAAATGCCATTTGCTGTGCTCCAATCACTCGTTAGCCTTTCGCGGGCTACACGGCCAGAAAAATGACAGTGCATTCCGGGCGGAGGGAGACGGCAAGAGGCCTGAAAGGCTTGTACTTGGATTATTTCTATGTTTTTGGGTATTCTGGGAGCTAAAGATACTCCAAGATGGGGTCATTCCTTTGGTTCATTGAACTATAAACCATGGGTAGAG